TAATCCTCGATTAGTCTCAGCCAATTTTACATGTCAAAGTCCACCATGTTTGAACTTTGCAACGCAGCAAACTGCAATTCTTGTCTCACAACCTTGTGTTTCCAGTCTGATGCATTCGCATGCGTATGAATGAAAGTCTTTGGGGAGAAAAGTCCAGTGTGACCGCAGCTCAAGGACTCAATTAGTCTGATCAGATGTGTTTAGTTAGGGTTAAAGCTAAACCATGCCTTCCATGAATTGAGTTTGACACCTGTGATTAATGGGATATGGCCATATATCACACAAAACCACTAAAACAGACTAAAAACAATGTAGTATACATGCCAGACCAGTATATTACACTGTTATTCACCCACAGACTCTGGAGCACAAACACAAGCCTGCAGTCCACCATGTTGTTGTTGTCACTGTTACATAATGTAGCGATGTTTGACAAAGGTCAAGACCTGAGCTGATGACATCATGATTCACCCAAAACCACAAATATTTTCAGATTTATTCACTCTGGCACTCCAAAAGTGTAGTTTACATTGGCACTTATAGCCTGGTGGACAGTGTGCTGGCATATAGTGCAACTGCCCTGTGGGTGTCCAGAGTTTGATTCCCCACTCAGATATTTCAAACCTTTCCATCCACCTTTCCATACACTATAATTGGGCGGGCTGGCTGCCCAGGTATATTTAGTGCCACTTTTTTTTTATTTTGTATGCACCCAATAACCAAACTTAGGTGATGGATTATGTATTGGAAAATTTTCTCTCATTTACCCATTTCGTTCTGTGTGCAGGAGACCTGTCAACACTCTTACAGACAGTCTCACATGCTTTGCAGACTCAGAGAGGCACGCCTTTTTGAGACTTATAAAATTTGTCAGACCCGGCCCGAGCTAACTTTTGCTTTTGCTTTTTTAAGCTCGAATGCATTTTTTTGCATAACCTTTTTACTTAAGCCTACTTTTGTAGGGCTTCGCAATTGACCACGGGTGCATAGTTGTGAGAGAAACATTAAAAAATTATTTTTTTTCTATCTAAAGAAAAACTTTATACTCGAAAAGGACAAAATGACTGTTCTAAACTGGCTTTAGTAATAGTCAATTAGTGAATGCCTTATTTAAATAATCTACAGTTTTTAATTTTGTAATCATGCAATTTGTTTTTTGAGATATTGGCCTCTATTTTAACGATCTAGGCGCAAAGTCTGAAACACCCAAAAGCATTAAGGGCATGTCCGAATCCACTTTTGCTATTTTAAGGAAGGAAAAATACGCTCTCTGCCACAGCACATGGTCTAACAGGGTTGTGCTTATTTTCTAAATGAGTTATGTGTGTGTTTTGAGAATAAATCAATCACAGTCTCATCTCCTATTCCCTTTGTGGCACATTTGCAATTTACATGACGGACTTTGTAAGTGGAAAAACTGAACGCTTCACTAGTAAGAAACAGTTAAACAGAGCATCTGCAGCACGAGGATAAAAAACGAGCCTCCTCCATTCTACCTTAACTTTCACTTTCTCTTTTTCGTGGATAAGGAAATGGTGTTGTACACTCAACTGAAGACATTTATTAGCCTACATAATTCATTTTTGTTTGTTAAGAGCAAAGATTCATTTCAAAACAAATAAATGAGCAATAATAACAAAGTGTGGTCAAAAAACGGAGTTATATCCAAACACGCGTCCTATGCTCTATATGCTATAAAACCCAACAGGTGGACAAATCTAAGCTTGTTTTTAATAAAACAAAAATAAAAATGCATGTAATACTTAATAATACTAATAATAATAGCATCATACATGCCAGTTGTCATGAATATATTGAAAAAAAGGCTCCAAGATGAAGGCATGGAGGCAGTGGTTTTTATATTTATGTAGAAATAATTATTTTTTCAATATTTTCATTATTTACTTTTTCATCTGTAAAGATATTTGTGTATTGCTGTACATCCTGCATGTTTTAAGCAATGTGTAAGCGAGACGCACAACTAACGCACTCTACACTGGATTTTGGACCTGCTTTCAGCTGCTATGTTATAGTCTATTTTAGTTCCTTAAAATAGCAAAGCACCAACAATGCGCCTCAACACACCTTTTTTCTAGACCGGTACACCCCTGAGTCCACAAAGTGCTGCAAATTTACAATTTTTGGATTTACTATATAAACAACGTAGCGGAAAACAGGGAATTGCGCTCGTCTGAAAATAGCAACAAGTGTGTGTGCACATGGCTCCTGAATAGCATAAAAGTAAGATTAATTGTGGTAGCCTTTTTTACGTTAACCCATAGAAAAGAAACGGTGTATAACACTGTATAATAAATAAAATTATTGTTAAAAATTAAATGTATTGTTTGTCGCATATAGTTTATTTATGTGATTTGGGTTCACATAAATAAACTGGGAGGGCTGAGGCCAGGAAGGTGCAGGTTGCCCAATCCTAACCTTAGGTGGATAAATGGACAAAATGGAGTTAAGGGGCTGCTGAGAACCAGTAGATGCAGGACTGATGAACTGCAGGAGATTCTGAACTGAAAAAAAAAAAACAGCAGATACAGCAGAGGTTCAGGGCTGTACGAAAACCAGTGGAGATTGGAGAAACAAGTATCCAACAAATTAAGACCAGCTACTGCTCAGGACAGATGGTGAAATTTATTTCATAATTCAACAGCATCCAATCCACAGATGAAGCAAGCTGCTGATGAAGGCTGTTGTGGTGAATTGCATAGAATGTGAATGTGGTAAAATTAGCTAGTTCTATCAAGTCTGTTGTGTGGTCCTTAAGGGAGTAACCTCCTTGCTCCTAACAAAGCATAGTTGGTACACTAGTTATAAAAGGAACAATGAACAGAATCCTTTATATTTAAAAAATATAGATCTCATCTTGGGCTGCACGGTGATGCAGTGGGTAGCACAATTGCCTCACAGCAAGAAGGTCACTGGTTCGAGCCCTGGCTGGGTCAGTTGGGCTTTTCTTTGTGGAGTTCACATGGTTTTCCTCCAAATTCTCTGGTTTCCCCCTCAAGTCCAAAAAACCATGTGGTATAGGTGAATGGGTAAGCTAAATTGTCTATAGTTTATGAGTGTGTATGGATGTTTCCTAGTAATGGGTTGCAGCTGGAAGGGCATCCGCTGCATGAAACATGATGCTGGATAAATTGGTGGTTTGTTCTGCTGTAGCAACCCTAGATTGATAAAGGGACTAAGCCGAAAAGAAAATGAATGAATGAGATATTCTCTTTTCTGGGATATTTTCAGGTCTGGATGAAGGAACAGATTCATTACTTATTTTTTTTTTTTTTTTTTTTTGAGGTAAGTCTCGCTCACACTTAGCACAATGACTATAAAGATAATAATAAATATATTTGCTTCCACGCTTTCAAACGATAATGATCTGTTTATTTTTAGTTTATGCTCTTCATCTTGCATTATGCCCTTGGAGGTATCTTCGATGTGCTACTAACGCATCTGACCAGTGAATCCAGCTCATGTAATCAATCTAATCAAGCGTTTAATTTAGTGATCCCAGAGTAGTGGAATAAAAAAATTATTATTAAAAAATTATTTTCCCAGCATTTTCAAAGGAGGCAACTCAAAGATGACGAAACAAGCAAGCAACATATCATCTCCTATGGTGTAAACATTTCTTTTCTAGATAGTCAGTATCTTTAAATAATCTTTGAAAAGATTTTTCTTAACATCAAGGAGAACTTCTCCACAATGTCACCTGTTACTTTAAAATTCCCTGTAAATCCACTTGAAATAATCCTGTAATGAGAAAAAGAAATGTGGAGCATTGCAGGAATTAGTTTTTTTTTTTTTGTGGAACCACATTGGATTGTTGGAAGATGAGGGTTACTAACAAAGAATAGGAAGATTGATGAATTGATGAAGGCAGAACAGAAATGAGACACGCTCTGATAGCCTCGTCCATGACCAGAAGGGAAGAAAAGTAATTTTAAGGGGGAAGGATATAGTTATGATATTTGCTAAAATAATCTAAAAGTGAATTCTTGCAAATATACATCAATTATACCAAGCACTCGTATATACAGTTGAGGTCAGAATTATTAGGCCCCTTGTTTATTTTTTCCCCCATTTTCTGCTTAAAAAAGAGCCGATTTTTTCAACACATTTCTAATCATAATAGTTTTAATAACTCATTTCTAAACACTGATTTCTTTTATCTTTGCCATGATGACTGTACATAATATTTTAAAGATATTTTTAAGACACTTCTATACAGCATAAAGTGACATTTAAAAGCTTAACTAGGTTAATCAGGTTAACTAGGCAGGTTAGGGTAATAGGGTAAGTTACTGTATAACAATGGTTTTTCTGTATACTATTGAAAAAAATAGCTTAAAGGGGCAAAAAAAAATTGTCCTTAAAATGTTTATTAAAAAATAAAAAACTGCTTTTATTCTAGCCAAAATAAAACAAATAAGACTTTCTCCAGGGGAAAAAATATTACCAGACATACTGTGAAAATTTCCTTGCTCTGTTAAACATCATTTGGGAAATATTTTAAAAAGAATAAAAATCAAAGGGGGGCTAATAATTCTGACTTCAACTGTTTATTAAATACTATATCAAAACCAAATGATCTACCTGTGATTACCAGTAGCACCGATCACAGCAATGCTGATATGCAGTCATATCTACATGTGATTTTGTCCATATACTTTTGGTTTTAAACCAAAAATTAAGACATTTTCAACATTTCTAAAAAATTAAAATGGATTATAAACAGATTGAATTCTGTAGGCTGCGAAACCCTTTCCATCAGTACAGCTCGGTAATTATTTTGCTTTTACTCATTATCGGCTACAGATTAATCAGTTTACCATCCACAGAGGAGATTCCCATATGAGTTTGAGAACTATAAATATTATTACACGCATAACGGTGAAGACAACACATGTTAATTAGTGTCACTGTGTTGTACAGACATTCATGTGTGTGCGCGCCACAGATTAATAAGTGCAGCCCTGCTTGTGTGTTTGCAGTACCTGCATGAGAATGGTGTAGTGCACAGAGACCTGAAACCCGAGAACCTGCTGTATGCCACATCAGCGCCAGATGCTCCACTCAAAATAGGTAAGCCTCTCCATTTGGTTGATAGGGGAACAGAAATGCAGTTTCTCTTCCTCTCTTCTTGGTGAATTCGCTTGCAGATATGCACCACAATTCTCTTGTACAATAGAAGACTGTTCAGCTTTTAAATTAAAGTCTATAAGATTATGTCTTGTAGATTTCACAAAGCCTTGGTTTAGAACAGGATATTTTTTTCACATTTTACAATAAGGTTTCATTAATTAATGTTAGTTTATGTACTAACTAGGGCTGTCAAAATTAGCGCGTTAACGCACGTGATTAATTGTAAATATTTAATGCGTTAAAAAAATAACGCAAATAACGCAGTTGCTTTTTTTTTTTTTTCATTTCCCGTTGTGGCCGATGTGTGTTCAGGGACGGCGTGTGTATATAGAGGCGACCTAGGTGGCCGCCTTGGGCAGCAGAAAAGTGAGCGAACACCCTGGTCTTCACTTTCATCAGCTACACCCACCCCCTTCCTCTCAATCCTTACTTTCGTCCGCGAACCAGTCACTTTCAGGTTGAGGGCGGCGTGATTTGCCTAAAGCGCCAGTTCAGCTTGCTCCGGCCCTGCATGTGTTTAATGTGCAAAGAAATTTGGATGAGACCAAGGACGTGCTTTTTAGAAGGGGAAAGTTTCAGTATAAAACAATTAATGTCGCATCACCAGGCTATTCTGCATTTCTTCCAGTTTCATACAATTTCGGGTGTTTCATTTTTAATCTTGAAACTTTAACTGCACTTCAGCAGTTCACTTTCATTCAGCATATTTTCATTTAGGACGTTTTAATGGAATTTGATACCGCATGACGAACGGAAAGAAAAACCTCCGCATTTTGGGACTCGTGTGATCCTCTAAGGTGATCACAAATCACTGCTTACATCGTAGACTCTTAATCAGTATTATCTTAATCATAAAAGCAGAGTATTGGTGTCCATGTAAATGTACTCAGTGCTTCCATGAGCCCTCACATTTCATAAGTTTGACTTTGATCCCCCCTACACTCAACTTTTGTAGAGTGTCTGCTTCACATTGCTGTGTCAGAATCCTTGCTTGTAAAAAACAGCCTTACTTTAGAACGCTTAGTTTAAACAAATTTGATGAACGATCGTGCGTTTTGATGAATCTAAAGGGATCCTTCGCTTACCGGGTCTGCTATACTATGCTGCTGTACGTTGTGTGTATGTGTGTGTTTGTGTGTTTGTTTGTAGTCCACATAGAATCCAACATAGAAAAAATTTTTGTTTGTCATTGGCATTGATTGTTTTGAAATAGCACTTAAATGCCTGTGTTTTTTTCTATAATAAATACATTGTTTCGTGATTAATCATGATTAATTACAAAAAAGGTTTGATTAATTATTTAATTTTTTTATTCATTTGACTAAAGCATTAACATTAACTAATAATGAACGCTACTCATTTATTAATTACAGTTCAAAATTTACTAAAGCACTATGAAGATCCACAGCTGTGCTTGTAAATGTCTTCATTTCATTAAGGCTTAAAGTCTGGGCTGTAGTTAAAGGTGCCGTAGGTGATTGTCATTAGAATAATTTTTTATTGTGCTGGTTGAAAGTCTTCACATTCCAATAGCGCTGATTAAAGTAAATAATCTAAATGTATTTATATGTATATTTATATTATGGGTAAGGCATAAGACTAAAAAATGTTTGTCCAATTAAAAATTCCCATAATTTTGATAAGCAGGTCAAATTGTCTGTCAACAAATGTAGGTTTGTACATCTGCGCACCTATTGAGCTATATGAACTATTTTAGTCATGCAAAGCTGATGTAGATTTTGTTGTTTTACGAATGAGTTATATGCACAGAGGTATTGTTTAGCCACTGAAATCTTCTGGCGAAAGATTGATGTGATTAATCACAGCTTTATGAGGGACCTTTTACAGCATCGATAACGTAGATTCTTTTTTAGCTTAACAACAAAACAGAAGTAAATAGCACTATTCTCCTAGCCTGCTTTACTGAGGTTAAGTTGGGTTTATATTCACATTGTTTCATTTTTGAACAATGACAATCTGTGAAACACTCTCTATATAGTTTACCATGCTGCTTTGAATATTCAGACTGAAATAACATGTTTGACTTAGTAATAAGTATAAACCCTGCACACCGCTGGCCAAACACTACGGTCACTTTAGGACAAAGCATGTGAGAGAGTAAGACCATGCATGTACTGTAATATACACATTATGACAGTTTTGCTTTCTAACTGTTACCGTGCTAGATATAAAACAGTTTTCATTCGGAATTGTAGTATTAAAGATCTAGTTGGTCTCTGTCATCTTTAATGATTCCAGGAGGTGTGGCTTTGGCTGGCAGGAAATGGACTGTGTTCAAAGATAATATGCGAACATTAACTGATTTTAGCATTTTGGCAGATCACCTACTGCGCCTTTAACTAAAACTAATAACATGGAAAAATACTTTTAGTACTCAAAAAATAAATAAATAAAACTGATCATATATACTGTATATAAGCTTGATGTATATATCAAATGTTTAAAATAAAAATACAAATGAGAAAAAAAACAGTAACTGTTATTTACAATGTAGCTTACATTTTAATCAATATATACATACAGTTAAAGTCAACCTTATTCGCCCTCCTGTTAATTGTTTTTCTTTTTCAAATATTTTCTAAATGATGTTTAACAGAGCAAGGACATTTTCACAGGATTTCCTATAATATTTTTCCTTCTGGAGAAAGTCTTATTAGTTTTATTTGGCTTGAATAAAAGCAATTTTAAAGTTTTTAAAACCATTTAAGGTCAATATTATATATATATATATATATATATATATATATATATATATATATATATATATATATATATATATATATATATATATATATATATATATATATATATATATATATATTTTTTTTTTTTTTTTTTTTTTTTTTTTTGATTGTCTACAGAACAAACCATTATTATACAATGACTTGCCTTATTAACCTAATAAACCTTGCTCTATCTTAAAAATGATCTAATAAAATATAATGTACTGTCATCATGGCAAAGATCAGTTATTAGAAATGAGTTATTAAAACTATTATATTTAGACATTTTAAAATTCTTTCCGTTAAACAAAAATTGGGGGAAAAATATACTGCAGGGCTCATGATTCAGGGGGGCTAATAATTCTAACTTCAGCTATGTACTTAAAAACATTACTAAGTGATACTAAAATAACTCAGAATTATAATAATACTGGAGTTCTTGCGATGACCAGATCTTGTTTTGCAATGCTTAGAATCAGGACACATTTTAATGACAAGAACCTTTTTGTAAAAACCTTGTTTCATGTAATATGACTTTTCTTTACAGCGGATTTTGGTTTGTCGAAAATTGTTGACGATCAGGTAACAATGAAGACTGTGTGTGGCACTCCAGGATATTGTGGTGAGTTCATTAAAAAGCAGATTATTTTTTTTTACAGAACACCATCTGTGACTTCAGTCGCACAAAGAGAATTACAGAAAAGATGCTGACTTTTTTACAGCATGAGTGCAATAGAGTGTCACCTCCTCCTTTATTCTTTTCTTCTGATCTTCTGTCTTTCAGCTCCAGAGATTCTGCGGGGATGTGCCTATGGCCCTGAGGTTGACATGTGGTCTGTGGGAGTTATCACGTACATTTTGTGAGTGACACCACATACTTGTCTAAAGTTATTCTTTCACAAGAATGCTGTGCTTAGTCACTCCGTCTCTCTGTCGGATCAGTCTTGAGAGGCTGGGATTGTCTCCGATCAGCCAAACTGACAAAGTGTGATGCACATTTTGAACTTTTGGGTGTAATTTCACGATTCCAGTGAAGTTTCTTTTATAAAAACAAGTGTCCAAGAAGGCGAGGCAGTGGCGCAGTAGGTAGTGCTGTCGCCTCACAGCAAGGAGGTCGCTGGTTGCTGGTTCGAACCTCGGCTCAGTTGGCGTTTCAGTGTGGAGTTTGCATGTTCTCCCTGTCTTCGCGTGGGTTTCCTCCGGGTGCTCCAGTTTCCCCCACAGTCCAAAGACATGCGGTACAGGTGAATTGGGGTTGGCTAATTTGTCCGTAGTGTATGAATATGTGTGTGAATGTGTCTGTGGATGTTTCCCAGAGATGGGTTTGCGGCTGGAAGGTCATCCGCTGCGTAAAAACTTGCTGGATAAGTTGGCGGTTCATTCCGCTGTGGTGACCCCGGATTAATAAAGGGACTAAGCCGACAAGAAAATGAATGAATGAATGAAAGTGTCCAAGACAATTTGACCAAAAATTTTTTTATAATTTCACTCATCACTCAGCTTCATAAGCAATTCAGTAAATACCGTTTTTCAGTCTGTATTGATATTTAGATTAAAGCACAACTTATAATAAGAAAACAAACCAGTACTGGAACAATTGTGTAAAATATTTAGTATTATTTAAGAGTTACTATTTAAGTTTTTATTCTTTACTTTCTTTTCATATATATATATATATATATATATATATATATATATATATATATATATATATATATATATATATATATATATATATATATATATATATGAAGAGTTCAGATGCAAAAGTCGCTAAATGCCACTTCTGTCAAAAATGATATGACAATGAGTGAATGCTTTACGCACGTATTACATGTTTAACAAATACATCTTTTTTAACAATCATCTAAATCGCATCGGCAGCTCATTCAGAAATAACAGTTTGTTATTAAAAGCTGCTAAACACCACTTCCCTCAGAAGACATTTGAATCATATGTTTTCAATGTAACGATGCACTGATATGCTGGCTTTTATGAGGAGAGTGTTTTATTCCGCTTACGATTTCGATTTTAAAAGATGGAGTTTGATAAACTGGATGAACCTGTCCTACTGTCAGTGAAAGCCAAATTAAAACATCCCTTACTTGTTATACTGTGTCAGAACAAATGAATCTTAATAAAGTTAGCTTACATTGACAGAAAGGTGCAATGGTTTATAAATAACCTAAAATTATAATGACAGCTGTTAAAATGACAATAATTACAAATCCAACAATTGTGTTCAATGTTTTCCCAGAATTCTTCCCACCAAGCAATTTGTAAATTTGGATATCTACATTTGAGTTGTCAGTGAAAATCTAATAGAGGCCCAACAGTAGTTAAAAATAGACTAGCCATCAAATAGACAGAGTAGAATGAGTTCACATGTGTAGTCATTCATTAATTCCTTTCAGATTAGTCTGTTTTTGGGCTATTGATAGATATCTATTAGATTTGTATTGAAAAATGCTTGGTGGGTTCACTTCCTGTTGTTTTTAGTCCTCTTTATGAAAAATATTTGGATCAAATTTTTCACAGATTACTGTATTTTGACATCATCACACACATAAATAAACTGACATCATGTACCCTGTAGTTAAATAATATTCAAAATTACATGTGTTGTCTAAAGTGTTTTTGGTTTCAAATTTGAAAATTTGTTCATTATTATTAGTTTATTAGATTGAAGACATTAGAACCACTAACTTACAGTTGAAGTCAGAATTATTATCCTCCCTGAAATATTAGTTAATTAAAAACTGCTTTTTTTCTTGCTGAAATAAAACAAATAAGACTTTCTTCAGTGCAATGAGCAATACGGTTTCAGAAAAAATAGATCTCTGGCATTAACAGAAATTATTGAGGAAATTACTAATATGATATTTTTTTTATAGATTTAAAGAAGGCATTCGATAGAAATCATATTATTTTGGTAAATAATAAAATGTATTAAATTAATTATTTATTTATTTACTTAATTAAATGAATTAAATTAGAAAAGTGTAGTATTAGAGGAGTAGCCTTGGACTGTAGAAGCAGCTATTTAAAATATAGGCAACATTGTGGCATTCTGCAAGGATCAATTTTAGATGCAATATTGTTTATAATTTTTACATCAATGATATGTGTAAGATATCAGAGTTGTTTAAGTTCGTTTTATTTGCAGATGATATAAAGTATCTTTTGCGCTGGGGATAATTTACCAAAACTTATGGAGTTGATTAAAACAGAAATTAATAAATTAAAATTGTGGTTTGACATAAACAAATTGTCATTAAATAAAAGTATTTTATGTTTTTTTATGTTTAAGGTATGATTTAATTTCAATTAATGGCTGCAGTACTATGAATTTTTTGGGTCTATGTTTATTCATTCATTCATTCATTTTCTTGTCAGCTTAGTCCCTTTATTAATCCGGGGTCGCCACAGCGGAATGAACCGCCAACTTATCCAGCAAGTTTTTACACAGCGGATGTCCTTCCAGCTGAAACATCCACACAAACATTAACACATACACTCATTCACTATGGACAATTTAGCCTACCCAATTCACCTGTACTCCACACAGAAACGCCAACTGAGCCGAGGCTCGAACCAGCGACCCAGCAACCTTCTTGCTGTGAGGCAACAGCACTACCTACTGTGCCACTGCTTCGCTGGGTCTATGTTATAAAATGTAAATGTAAAAATGGAATCAAACATATATGTCAAATATGTCAAAAAGATCAAATATGTCTCATGTAAAGCTCACATGTCTCATGTAAAAATAAGAGATAAGTAAAAGAAGAAATAAGTTTAAGTAATAGATGAATTATGTGTGTGGTAACGCTCCATTTTCAACAATGTTGAAATGTATTTTTTGATGAAGAATTATATGTATAATTCAGTTTAAAAATAAATAAATTAAAAAAATCAAATCAAGACAAGAATTAGTTCAAGAAAATGAGTTAATACTATTGTTTTGTTTTTTTCTTCTTTAGGTTATGTGGCTTTGAGCCTTTTTTTGATGACCGAGGAGACCAATACATGTTTAAACGCATACTGAACTGTGAATATGAGTTTGTCTCCCCCTGGTGGGACAATGTGTCTCTCAATGCCAAGGACCTGGTGAGTAAATCTCAATTATACTGTACACAATTTGTTTAAAAAGTATATTTAAACGCATTAAAATTAGTAATAAAGTCCATATTTCTAATGAAAAATAAGATATGTTGAAGAAAGCTGAAAACCGGTAACCGTTACAACTTGCATTGTATTTGTTATTCCTACTATAGAAGTCAATGGTTGCTGGTTTCAGCATTCTGCAATATATCTTCATTTGTGTTCAGCAGAAAAAAGAAACTCATAAAGGTTTGAAACCAATTGAGGGAAAGTAAATAGTGAGTATAACTGATTAAAACACATAAGATGTATACATGTCTGAAAAAATTCATTCATTAATTATTTTTTCTTCAGCCTAGTCCCTTTATTCATCAGGGGTCCCCAAAGCAGAATGAACTGCTAACTCATCCAGCATATGTTTTACACAGCAGATGCCCTTTGAGCTGCAAATCAGTACTGGGAAACACCCATAGACTCACATTCACACACATACACTACGGCCAATTTAGTTTATTCAACTCACCTATACCAGATGTCTTTGGACTGTGGGGGAAACACGGGGACAACATGCAAACCCCTATCTGTAAAAATATAATACTATAATGACTAGAAAAAATAAAAATGCAACTTAATATAATTAAATATTCTCAAAATATTGTTTTTGACTCATTCTTTTTTTCTCACAGTATTGATATCAATGAACAGTTCACTCCAAAAAAGTATTGTCTCACCATTTACTCACACTCAGATGGTTCTAAAAATTCATGAATGTCTTTTTTATGTTGGATGTTTCAATGTTAATCATTTAATGGTGCTGTACAAAGTAGAAACAAAAATACAGTGGACAATCTTTTCTTTTCAATCTTCTTTTGTGTTCATTAAAGAACCCCTTTTATGCTGTAAAAAAAGGTCATATTTTGGTTTTAGGGGTCTTCAACAACAGGGTGATATGCATGCAAAGGTCAAAAACACCTTCATTGTCTTATAATGTGCATTTATTTTTACCTAATTATGCCAACAACTCCCATATGATTCGCTCAGCGAATCATTTGTTCCCAAACCCCTCTTTAGCGTGAGGCTAAACTGCACTGATTGGTTCGTTGACCCAGTCTGTTGTGATTGGTTGACTGCGTTCAGTGTGAGACAGAGAGAAAAGCCCACCGTGGCTTATCAACATTGTTGAATTAGTCAGAGTGCAGGGTGTATGTGTGGGCCCAATGCAGGAGTGCATTAAACACCAGCATATTGCTCTGTTCTTAACCCAGACACACATTCAGTATTAATCCAAACAGCGGCCAAAGCTGAACTATTTTGAAACTTGACCACTGCACGTGTGTACAGTAGGAACAGCTGGCCATAGCAACGTCAAAAGGCAGTGGATCGCGAGCTCACAAACGCATTTAAATCCGTAAACAAAGCAGCATGTGTCACATTTTCAGTGTGCCTTTAGACGGGATATGTGAACATAAAATGTTAAGCAGATACAATACAGGAGATTACATGTAACAAAACACAATTAAATACATAATTTGCATGCTAGAGAAAACAAGGAGGCAACCATTTTAATTGAACTTACTTAAACTTGTGAAATGGAGTAAGAAGCTGATCTGAATCCTTCCTTTAACAAATGGCGTGTAGATTGCTGAAGCACTCGTCAGAAAAATGACGGGAACACAGCACAAGGCAAAGGCTATAATGCTGAGGTATTTTTGCACAAATAAACTTCAACCACTGATTTTTCACAGCCTCATCTTTGAGTAGAGAAAATAACACTAACTAACTTTCCCTCACACTTTAGAGCACAGCATCTTTGTGACATGATTCATACAGGATCTACTACAGTGTTTGTCTTCCTCCTTTTCTTTCTACAATGTTTGTGGGCGAGGCAGGTTTTTTTTTTTTCAATTTTCCCAGGTGTGCGCACAACAAATGGGCAAATCGACATTACGCCAACTCTGCTAACAGCCCATTACCGTGGCTATTCATTCAAACCACTATGAGTGGACTCTTTTATAGATGAATTAATACATTTAAACACAGTTCACTTTCAGATTGAAACCTAAGCTGGATATTTCACTTCCCTTAGAGCTGTGTTACACACTGCATGGAAGGTCATTTTTAAAACCCCATTTTAAGGGTTATTTAAAAGAAAGAAACTCAAAAAGGTTTGGAACAAGTGTAAATGATAATGAGTACATTATACTGATTTAATTTTTGGGTGAACTATCCCTTTAAACACTTTTAAATAGTTTAAACGTTTACTTGTGATTGGATGACCTACGTTAGCCTTGTAAAATAAGCTCACACCTGTGAACACACATCAGTTTGTATCTATTTCAGTACACCAAGTTGCTTGGCAACAATAAACAGCCTACAGTTGTGCTATTGAATGTTATCACCATGTGAAGTAATTACTTTTTGAGTTAATAGTTAATTTGCTCATGTTAATAAAAGGATTTATAAACTACCTGAAAAAATTCTTGTCACCTATACAAGCTTTATAAACAACAAATAATAACTTGACCTTTAGGTGATCATTTGGTATCAGAAGTGGCTTATATGAAAGGCAAAAGCCTCTAGATTAGGCTTATTTTACCAAAATAAAATATGACCATGCCTTGATTTTTATGATTTCATTAGGACAGTAAGGTCTGACTTTGCTTAGACAAAAGTCTTGTCACTTAACAGAAATAATGTAGACTATAGAATATAAAGTCATGCTGCTGTAAAAAAAGAAATAATATTGTGTATACCATGAGCTTGAACTTCATTATTACAACTCTGCAATGACTCAAATAATTTATTAAAAAAGTCATCTGGAATGACAAGGAAAGCGTTCTTGCAGGACTCCCAGATTTCATCATGATTCTTTGGATTCGTCTTTAATGCCTCCTCCTTCATCTTACCCCAGACATGCTCAATAATGTCTGGTGACTGGGCTGTCCAAACCTGGAGCACCTTGAGTGTGAGAAGGAGCGCTATCCTGCTAAAGAATTTGCCCTCTCCTGTGGTTTATAATGTAATAGGCAGCACAAATGTTTTGATACCTCAGGCTGTTGATGTTGCCACCCACTCTGAAGATCTCTCGCACACCCCCATACTGAATGTAACCCAAACCATGAAATTACCTTAATCAAACTTGACTGATTTCCCAAATTAGATTTAACAGAGCAAGGAAATTTTCACAATATGTCTGATAATATTTTTTTCTTCTGAAGAAAGTCTTATTTGTTTTATTTTGGCTAGAATAAAAGAAGCTATTAATTTCTAAACACAGTTTTAAGGATAAAATTTTTAGCCCCTTTAAGCTATTTTGTTTGACTGTCTACAGAACAAACCATTGTTATACAATAAGTTGCCTAATTACCCTAACCTGCCCCTGAATTATTAGACCCCCTGTTTATTTTTTTCCCCATTTAGTTATCATGCAGTAGACATTCATCATTTTCTCATCAGTGACATGCATCAGATATTCTCTCTGTGTGATTTTGATGTCTTCTGTTTCTTTGAGGTTGTTCTGCATCATTTAATTTGATTGGATGGGAATTACAGGACAATCACCATAAACAATCACCACAGACAAGAAAAAAATAAAGTAGTGACTGCAGGTTGAAGGAAAATATTGAACTAAAAGTACCGAAACATTTTTAGTGCTGTACTCAAGTAAAAGTAAAAGAACGCATTTTTAAAACTACGTAGTGAAGTCCAATTCCTGAAAAAAACTGCTTAATTACTGTAATTTGAGCATTTGTAATTTGTTACTTTACATCACCGCAGATAAACAAATACAAATGAAGTCAAAATTATTTACCCTCCTGGCAATTTTAGTTTCTTTTTCAAATGTTTCCTAATCATGTTTGACAGAGCAAGGAATTTTTCAGAGTACTTTCGATAATATTTTTCTTCTTTTTATTTCAGCTAGAATAAAAGCTGTTCAAGCCAATGAATAAAAGCTTAATTATTCATTCATTTTCTTTTCAACTTAGTCCCTTTCATAACCAAGGGTCACCTATAGGGGAATGAACTGCTAACTTATTCTGCATATGTTTTATGCAGCGGATGCCCTTCCACCCGCAACCCAACACTGGGAAACACCCATACACTTGTGCATTCACGCACGTACACAATGGCCAATTTAGCTTAAACAGTTTACCTATAGTGCATGTCTTTGGACTGTGGGGGAAACCAGCGCACCCAGAGGAAACCCATGCACGGGGAGAACATGCAAACTCTATGAACTAGTAGATAGTCTACTCTAACTCTCAAAAAATGCCAACTGACCAGGGCCGGAGTGGGACTCTTTTTCAGCCCTGGAGTTTCAAGCCTCAGACCGGCCCACCTCAGTTCACCACCGACTATATTAAAATAAGGTTATTTCCAATTCAGTTTCTAATTACACTATCACGTCTTTTTTTGAGAAAACAGCTCTTTTAGAACTTCAAATGTTCAACAACCCTTACAGTATTATGTCTTAACAATAAAAATGAAAAAAAAAAAAATAATTGTTACTCAGACAAGGACCGAACCCAGATTGACCACGTCATAATCTAACGTACTAACCACTGTACCACAACATCCTGCTCACGAGGCTACGAGAAAATAGATAAAAAGAGCAGAGCTGCTGTAAAATAATGAATAAGAACACTGTGGTCAAGTAAATAAATAAATTATTTTTAAAAAGTGTGACTGCTGAGAGCAACCGATTCTGGAACTAGGGACACCGGCCCTCGCGGCCAAAAAACGGACCGGCCCACCCGGTATTCTCCCGGTCCTCCCGATTAGCCAATCCGGGCCTGCAACTGACCCAGTTTGGGCTTCAACCAGCTACCTTCTTGCTGTGAGGCGACAGCTCTATTCACTGCGCCACTGTGACGCCAAAAGTAGTTTAAAATTTTAAGGTCAATATTATTAGCCACTTAAAGCATTTTTTGACTTGGTCAAGGTGCTCCAGGACCGGCCAGCCCAGTCACCAGACATGAATGTTGAGCATGTCTGGGGTAAAATGAAGGAGGGGGCATTGAAGATGAATGCAGAATCTTGATGAACTCTGGGAGTCCTGCAAGAACACCTTCCTTGTCATTTCAGATGACTTTATTAATACGTTTTTTGAGTCATAGCAGAGATGTATGAATGAAGTCATCCAAGTTCATGGGAGTTTATATATATATATATATATATATATATATATATATATATATATATATATATATATATATATATATATATATATATACAATATTAAATCTTTTTCCACTGCACCATGACTTTATATTCTAAACTGTAAATTTTTCCTGTTAAGTGTCAAGATTTTTGTGTTAGCAAAGTTAGACCTATGATCATGTTATATTTTGGTAAAATAAGCGTAATCTAGAGTTTTTGCCTTTCATATAAGCCACTTCTAAAACCAAATGATCAACTAGAAGTCAAGTTATTTTTTGTTGTTCCTAAAACTTGGATAGGCGACAAGACTTTTTTCAGGTAGTGTATTAATGTAATGTGTTCTGACATTAAAATAAGCTCTCGTTCTAAATGTATAGTTCATGAATGGCAAATAATTGACAGCTTTAAAATAAAAGGCACTGATGTTAGCTTTATTTTTAATTTGCAGGGCAATCACAACTGAGTACTTTTAGTACTTTTACTCATACTTTGAGTAGTATTTAGAAATTACTTGCACTACATTTTTGGCAAGTGATGGTACTTTTACTTAAACAATTTAACTAAACGAACCAAAATGAAAAGAATAAATAAATAAATAAACTATAGGGTATATGCCGAAGCATGCTAATAGGACTTTTAATTTGCCAGTAACCTGGGTTAACCGCTTCCTCTGAACTGAATGCCATTGCAAAATCGGCACATTTAAAGTCAGTTTTCTTTAAAAATCAGCGATCTCCACTGGCTGAGTGATATCCGTGATATCTGAGTGATAAAATGAGTCTCAGATGGTACAAAAAGCACTGCATTAAATGACATTTCCCCCCGCTATGTCTTTATAAGATGAGCATTTACCCCAGGTAACCCATTTTACCCCAGTATATTTAATGGTAAGGGCAAGGCAGTGGCGCAGTAGGTAGTGCTGTCGCCTCACAGCAAGAAGGTCGCTGGGTCCCTGGTTCAAACCTTGGCTCAGTTTGCGTTTCTGTGTGTAGTTTGCATGTTCTCCCTGCCTTCGCGTGGGTTTGCTCCGGGTGCTCAGGTTTCCCCCACAGTCCAAAGACATGCGGTACAGGTGAATTGGGTAGTGGTGAATCTGTAGTGGATGAGAGTGTGTGTGTGGATGTTTTCCAGAGATGGGTTGTGGCTGGAAGGGCATCCGCTGCGTAAAAACTTGCTGGATAAATTGGCGGTTCATTGCGCTGTGGCGACCCCAGATTAATAAAGGGACTAAGCCGACAAGAAAATGAATGATTGATATATAATGGTGCTTCTGCACTAGCCTGCCGATTCTGACAGGCGCATAAACGGCTTTTTGTCTCGTTTTACGCTTGAGCAACTAAATGAATGCCAAAGTCTGTTTAACTGATTGTATTTTAATTACATTACAACATCAATGCTGTAAAAGGAACTGTATAAAATGGAAAAAACTCACATAACCTGTCACCGGAGGTTAACAGTATGGTATCAACTCTAGCTCGGCATATACCCTCTTGTCAATGGATCACAAAAACAGAAGGATGCCAGTAAGAAAAGTGATGAAACATGAAAGTGCAGCTTGTCTCCTATATCTCCACAGGTGAAGAAACTAATTGTGCAGGATCCAAAGAAGCGTCTGACAACACAGCAGGCGCTGCAGCACCCCTGGGTGACTGGAAAGGCTGTTAACTTTACCCATATGGACACTGCTCAAAAGAAACTCCTGGAGTTCAATGCTCGACGAAAACTCAAGGTATGAGGCCTTTAGCTCATTGGCACACTTTCTTTTTACTATTTAAAGTGTATTGTATTTACGCATTTTGAAAACATTCCTGAAGAACCTGTTTTCTTCTACATGCCTTATGTCATCTAATTTTTTAACTATTAAAGGGGCTTATAAACAGTGCCTTATTTGTAAATAAATATTTCCTGGAACAAAACCAAGAAATAAAAGTTACCTTGACTGACGTCCACCACACAATTTCAGACGTCCCCAACATGATGTCATTAAACGATGTTATGCAAAGAAAGAGATTTCACCATTTTCAGATGGGTAAAGCTCCCGGGTACAAAAAAATGTTACAAACATTTTTGTCGCATGTTAGCAGACCACTGTAATCCACAGATGAGTCCAACTGTGCTCTCATAGCAGGGAAATGAAAAAAAACCTTCATTGCAGCACATTTATAAACACAACACTGTTGACCCATGTCTCAGAACAATTCTTCTTCTTCCACTTGTTTTAATCATGGTTGGCAACAAAACGTGGCGTCTCTCTGCCATCGGAAAGTTGTAAAAGGTTAAAACAAAGCTACAATTGAAACCAGAAGCTTACATACACTATAAAAAGGCACATAACCACTTTAAAAAAGTTAGATGTTAATGTGACTAACTTTTTTCTCTTTTAAGTAAGTTCAATCAAATTTGTTTCTGTTATGCTTAATAGCAGAATAATGAGAGAGATATTTTTTGAGGAATTGCTCTAACTTTTCTTAAAAGTCAAGTTTACATACAAAAAGATTATTATGCCTATGAAAAAGCTCAGATGATGATGTCTAGGTTTTGGACATTTCTGATTGGCTAATTGACAACATTTGAGTTAATTGGAGGCACAACTCTAGAATAGTATTTAAAGAAAACCTCAGACACACTGCTTTCTTGTGTGAAAACATGAGAAAATCAACAAGCCAAATCACCAAAAAAGCCAGATTAAAATTTGCTAAATTACACTGGGGAAAAAAATCATTTTTGGAGACATGTTTAGCCAAAATGACCAGTGTTACATTTGGAGGACACAGGGGAAAGCTTACAAGCCTAGGAACACCATCCCAACTGTGAAGTATGGGGGCGGCAGCATCATGCTGTGGGGCTGTTTTGCTGCAGGAGGGACTGGTCCACTTCACAGCATAGATGGCATCATGAAGAAAGGACATTATGTAGAAATACTGAAGCAACGTCTTAAGACATCAGCCAGGAAATTAAAACTTGTTCAAAAATGGGTCTTTCAAACAGACCATGACCCTAAGCATACTGCCAAATTAGTTATTTAGTTATTATTACAGTTAATTATTAGGTAAATGTGCTTAAAGGACAACAGAGTGAATGTTTTGGAGTGGCCATCACAAAGCACTGATCTCAATCCTATAGAAAATCTGTGGGCGGAGTTGAAAAAGCTTGTGCGAGCACGACAGCCAACAAATCAGACTCAGTTATACCAATTCTGTCAGGAGGAATGGGACAAAGTTCCTTCAAACTATAGTGAGAAGCTTGTGGAAGGATACACACAACCTTTGACCAAAGTTATACAGTTTAAAAGCAAAGCTAAAAAATACCAAGGAAATGTATGTAAACTTTTGACTGTCTAGAAATTAATAAAAAAATATCAAACAAAAAAAAATTATTTCATTATTCTGGCATTTAGCAAATGTAAATAATTTAGGTAATCATAACCGACCTAAAATAGTAAACGTTTAGTATGATTTACCATCAGATATTTAAAAAAAAAATTGTTATGTTTCTTTTTTTAGAGTGTAAACTTTTGGTTTCAACTGCATATCATGCATATTAATGTCGTTGTGCCTCATACACAATGTACGCACTGATTGGTTAGAACCAAGTCTTTCTCTTGAAATAATGATGAAAACTCAAAGACGTCACGTTGTACTCGCCGGTACAGACATCTAGTCTCCATGCTGGAATTTACACAAGGATCTAATTGCTGTCACATTCTTAATTTCTTTTCAAACTGGAAGAATGAACTTGCTTTAAATAATGCAAATATTTAGTGAAATATTCATGTACTAATAGTGTTTTTAGCAATGTGGGACACAAATATGACTGTCAACATCTCAAGAAAATGTGTTTTGGTGTTTCTTGACCCTTTAAACAACTTAGTAAAACACAACCTGAGAAAAACAATTACAGTAATTTAAGTATTTTTTATTCCACTTATAATTTTGTTGATGTTAAAAGTCAATCGTGTTTCTGTCTCCTCAGGCAGCGGTCAAAGCAGTAGTAGCTTCATCTCGATTAGGCAGCGCAGGAAGCCATGGGAACCCAGATGGCAACAAAGGCGACTGCAGCTCTTCCTCTATCAAAGAGAAGACAGCGGAGGATCAGCCAGACACTGAACAGCCTCAGATTCAGAATGAGGGCTCTTAAATCTCTAGAGCCTCACTGGAACTCGCACTTCTTCCCTTCATGAAAGGAACGCGTTGCCTCATAGAGGAGAGAACTGATGGGCTTTGTTTGGTTCTTCTGCATGCGGACTGTGTCTCTATAGAAATGTCCCAACTCATGACCCAGCCAGTTGCCATACCATGCTAACATCTGATCGGTATATAACTTCGGATTTTGTACAGCATCATTTGATGGTAATGAGAAGAACCAGATGGGCTTTACATCTATGGCAGTTAATATGTATGTTATCATGCTTTTGCCAAACAATCGTAGTACTTTTGATGATATATGTTGCGTTTTAGTTGACCAAATTACATACGTGATGCTTTTTAATTCAGATTTTTTTATTTATAAGTTATTGGTCGTTGGTAAAGAAAGATACTGAACCGTACCTTTACATAAGCTTCAACTGAGAATGCCTTATCATATAGCGTGTTTTTATATTTCATGAATTATTGTATATTTTAGAAATACTACTAAACGGTTTGTTTCAAACTAAGATATAAGTATATTATTCCCTTTGTAAATAGAGAGATGGTGATTTCTTCTTAAAACGGATGTAAATCTGTGTTGAGAGCAGGATAACAGGCCTATCTGACACTCCACATCACTAGGAAAAAGCCGAAATCTTCTTTATCTTGAGTACGCTTTTCACCATCTCATTGAAAAGGTTTTTATCTAAAAGACGTACCAGTGATAGAATTCATCCCAGAATTCAGTGCTTTACCAAGGAGTCTGTGATTGATTTTAAACACACCTAGAACAACATGGTGGAGTTTTGATCTTTTTTCATACTGTATCTTTAAAGCATGCTTGTAATGTATGGTTTGAGGGAATGCTGTTTGATAATCACATATAAGCAATGTAATAAGGATATACAGTACAGGGGTTCATGTTTTGCATGTAGGAATGTTTATCTTAACTTCTGCAGTCGTCTTTTTAAATGCACTGTATTTTACAGATAAAACTCACTGTCTAATTAACAGTATGCTATCAGAGGCCATTTGACGGTCACTTTGTATATGACACTAGTGTGTCAACTTTGTTATCTGCCTGTTTCTATGTCTAAGGACTCAAAAATGCCAATAAAACAGCACTGTATATTACTTGCAGAAATAAAGAGTGCAAAACAGTCCAGTGTGTATCACTGTGCAAGTTCTAAATGAGTGTCGTTTATTATTTATTTACAAATGCTTAAAAAAGGCAGTTCGACAGCACTAACCTTTAAACAATCTATTTGTATCAGTTTGTGCATTGCAGATGATATTGTTTTTGTGGATGTACAGTAGTAGTGTCATTTTTGCAGATTTTTCTGGGTAATTGGCTAAAGCATGGAATGGGGTGTATTCAAAATAACTATAGATATTTATACAAATTCATTCATTCTGTAACGGGGAGACTGACACGGAGGGATCCATTTTGCAGTATTTATTAAGTCACACTTAAACATCAACACCTCGCACGGTTGTGCGAACATACAACATACAACTCAACGATGATTAGCAGATAACAGAGGCAGAGTGATTACCAGGCTTGAGTCAAGGGCAGGCAGCGTGGTTCAGAGTCCGTAATACAGGCTTTAGTCAGGGGCAGGCAGCGAGAATCAGAGTCCGTGTAATCAGGCTTTAGGTCAAGGGCAGGCAGAAGACAGAGCAGAATCGAGGAACGGGCTGAAGTGGTAAACGGGAGATCAGGCAGAATAGAACGCTCAGAAATGCTGGCCGGGGCTAAACAAGACTTCGCAATGAAGTGTGTGTGTGAGCTGCTTATATGTGGTACGTGGGTCATTAGTGAGATGGAGAACAGGTGTGCTGGGATCTGAGTGAGAAGGATGACGTAATGGTTAGAAGTCCGGAGATGGTGACCTCTGCTGGTCAGCGAGGGGAATGACTGGGACCGAGTCAGTGACAGAGCCCCCCCCCAACGAACGGCTCCTGAAGTGAGGCAATTCTCGACGCTGGGGTCTTCCACGGGGGCGAGGGGCCGGCATCTCCGGATGTTGTGAGTGGAACTCTTCCAGTAGTGTGGTGTCGAGGATGTCCTTGCGGTTAATCCAAGATCTCTCCTCCGGACCGTACCCCTCCCAATCAACGAGATATTGGAGTTGACCGCCCCGGCGTCTGGATCTCAGGATCTCGTGGATCTGGTAAGCCTCTTCGCCATCGATCATGAGAGGCGGGGGACCCTGTTCACCGGCTGCCACCTCCCTATCCGTCTCGGCTGGACCAGCAGCAGGCTTGAGCAGAGAGACATGGAAAGTTGGGGAAATACGAAAATGATTAGGGAGTGTCAGTCTGAACGAAACAGGAGATATTTGTCTTTCTATCTGGAAAGGACCCACGTACCTGGGACTGAGTTTCTTGCAGGGCAGCTTGAGGCGTAAGTCGCGGGTAGAAAGCCATACCCATTGTCCTGGGGAATACATGGGACCAGGACGTCGGTGTCGATCGGCTTGTTCCTTGAAACGCCTTATGGCGTGAGAGAGGTGAGTATGAGCTGCGTTCCAGACCTCTTCGCAGTTTTTAAACCAGGTATCCACCGCAGGGAGTTCAGAGGTCTCGCCGGACCAGGGAAAGAGCGGAGGTTGGAAGCCCAGCACGCATTGAAATGGGGTTAATCCAGTAGATGCCTTTCTGAGGGAGTTCTGAGCATATTCTGCCCACATCAAAAATTTGGCCCATTCGTTCTGGGTCGAGTGACAATACGTGCGGAGGAATCGACCGATCTCTTGGTTCAAGCGCTCTGTCTGCCCGTTGGATTGGGGATGATAGCCGGATGTTAGGCTAACGTTGATTTGGAGATTTTTGAAGAATGCTGACCAGAGTCGTGATGTAAACTGGGGACCTCTATCCGATACGATGTCTTCGGGGAGACCATAGTACCGAAACACACACTCGCAGAGTAACTCAGCCGTTTCCATGGCTGTGGGCAGTTTTGGAAATGGGAATAAGGCGGCAGGATTTCGAAAATCGGTCCACTACTGTGAGGATGGTGGTTTTGCCCTGAGATATGGGTAAATCGGTGATGAAATCTATAGCGATGTGTGACCAAGGACGATGTGGCACCTCCAGGGGTTGGAGTAATCCAGCTGGACGGTGACGGGAGTGTTTGGACATCTGACAGGGTGAGCATTTGTTAATGAAGTTGATTACATCCTTGTGTATGGATGACCACCAGTAGCGGGATTGAATCATTTGCACAGTGGCTGTGCTGCCTGGGTGACCGGAACTGGGGTGGTCATGTACCTCGGAGATGAGTCTTTCTCGAAGCGACGGGGGGACAAAGATTTTATTCTCCGGACAGGGCTGCTGAGAAGGATTATTTTCGGCGGCTTGGAGGATCTCCTGATCTATATCCCACTGGATGGGAGCGACAATTAGAGGACTTTTGATTATGGGCTCGTCAGGGATTTCAGAGGTCTCATCGTCTGAGAGGCGGGACAGAGCATCTGCTTTGATGTTTTTCGAACCAGGGATATAGGTGACTTGGAAGTCAAATCGGGTGAAAAACAGCGCCCATCTTGCCTGTCTAGGATTCAGACGTTTACAAGACCGGATGTATTCTAGGTTCTTGTGATCAGTGATGACGATGAAAGGGTGTTTTGCGCCCTCAAGCCGGTGTCTCCATTCCTCTAGCGCAGCTTTCATGGCGAGGAGTTCTCGGTTTCCCACATCGTAGTTCCGTTCAGCGGAGTTAAGCTTGCGAGAATAGAAGGCACAGGGATGGAGCTTCTTATTCACTAGGGATCGCTGGGACAGGATGGCTCCAATTCCAGTGTTTGACGCGTCAATTTCGACGACAAAGGGTTGTTCGGGATCAGGATGACGCAGAATAGGTGCACTGGAGAAGCGAGTCTTTAACTGGGTAAATGCTCGGACAGCGTCGGGGTTCCATTTAAGGCGAGCATTATTAGCTTTGACCATGGCGGTCAGTGGGGCAGCGACTGAACTGAAGTTCCTTATGAAGCGTCTGTAGAAGTTAGCAAAGCCCAGGAATCGTTGTAGTTGCCTGATGGTTTCGGGTTGTGGCCATTGTGTCACAGAGTCAACCTTTTGTTGGTCCATGGCCACGCCTTCTGGACTGATAATATAGCCAAGGAATGAGATGCAGGTCTGGTGGAATTCGCACTTGGAGCTCTTCGCATACAACTGGTTTTCAATGAGACGTTTGAGCACTGCCCGAACGTGCTGGATATGCTCAGATAGCGAATTGGAATAGATCAAGATGTCGTCAATATATACTATTACCCATTTGTTGAGCATGTCTCTAAATATCTCATTTACAAATGCCTGGAACACGGAAGGACTGTTTGCTAGGCCGAAGGGCATAACGAGATATTCGTAGTGGCCGTCAATTGTAGAGAACCCGGTTTTCCACTCGTCTCCCTGTCGTATGCGGATGAGGTTATATGCACTACGGAGGTCCAACTTAGTGAAATACTGGGCGGATCGGAGTTGTTCCAGGGCGGCAGGAACCAATGGCAATGGGTAGCGGTATTTGACCGTGATCTCATTCAAGCCTCGGTAATCGATGCAAGGGCGTAAGCTGCCATCCTTCTTCTTGACGAAGAAAAACCCTGCTGAAGCGGGAGAAGTAGATGGTCGAATAAATCCTTTTTCTAGCTCCTCAGAGATGTACTTCTTCATAGCCTCAGTTTCAGGTTGTGAGAGAGGGAATATGCGACCACGAGGGGGCGTGGTGCCGGGTAGCAGCTCAATGGCACAGTCATTATCACGATGAGGAGGGAGCTTAGTAGCCTTCTGCTTATTGAATGCTTCAATTAGATCGTGATAAGCATCAGGAACATGATGGAGTTCAGAGTCTTCGGTCTTGTTGATTGTGTTGATCTGGATAGGGGAAACAGGATGCAGACATTGGGTAAAGCATTGATTGCTCCATTTTATGATCTCACCAGTTATCCAAGAGACTTGAGGGTCATGCTGTTGTAGCCATGGTAACCCGAGAATCACAGAGTGTTTAGGGGAGTTGATGGCAAGAAGGGAAATTTCTTCTTCATGAAGAGAGCCTGTTTGAAGCAAGACTGGCAGGGTCTGGAATTTTATACGTCCTTCTCCCAAAGGGCGCCCATCTACAGCAGTGATGGCTATGGAGGAATCACAGGAAGTTAGAGGAATGGAGTGAGTGGTGGCAAACGTGTAATCGATAAAGTTACCAGCGGCTCCTGAATCGATCATGGCCATAGTCTCAATCTCGTTTCCATCATTTCTCAAAGTGACAGGCAGATTCACAACATTATTAGTGGTAGTGAACATAGTGGTTGCACTCACCGAGAGGGTTTTAGGGAGAGGCTTGTTGGGACATAAAACCTTCGTATGACCTGGAAGTCCGCAGTAAATACACAAGTGATTTCTTCTCCGTCGTTCTCGCTCTTCTGGGTTCAGACGGGTTCTACCCAATTGCATGGGTTCAGCAGAGGTTTCAGGGGATACAGGACTGGAAGCAATTGAGCAGAGCGGATTGCGAGTGCGGAGGAGAGTGTCTAACCTTATGGAAAGCTCGATTAGTTGATCCAGAGTTTTCCCATCGTCACGACATGCCATCTCTCGCTGCAATTCTGGCTTTAGAGCCCTTCTGTAGAGCGTGACGAGCGGATCATCAGCCCAGCCAGTTTGCGCTGCCAAGGTGCGGAACTGCAGAGCGAACTCAGCTGCGGAGCGATCTCCCTGTTGGATACACAATAGCTCCTCGCCAGCGTTACGACCACCCTCCGGATGATCGAACACAGTGCAGAAACGTTTGAGAAAGTCATTAAACGAGGGAAATATCGGGGTACTGTCTGGCCAAACTGCAGTAGCCCAGTCTAGCGCTTTCCCAGTGAGCAGTGAGCACACAAAAGCAATTTTCCCGTTCTCGTCCTTAAACAGATGGGGTTGTTGGGCGATAAACAGTTTGCATTGCAATAGAAAGCCTTTACATTTTGCTGGGTTACCTGAGAACTTGTCAGGAAAAGCCAATCGAACTCCGGAAGTCATCGGGGGTTGTGCAACAACAAGTGGACTTGGAGGGTAGTTGGCGGTGGGTTGCGCAGTGGCAGCAGCTTGCAGGTTTTGGAGGGATTTCACCAGTTCATCTGTTAACTGAGTTAGGTGTGTTAGTTGTTGTTGGTGTGTTGACAATACCTGAGCTTGTGTGGTGACTTCGT